CCCAAAACATAGAACAGTAAATAAAGAAGTAAAGCAAACAATTACCTCTTCTAGTTACGACCTTTGTACTCGGTTGCTGCTTGACGTAGGTTGCTAAGCCTTTAGAAATTTTGCACATAGAGGATATGAAACTAAAATATTTTTTTTAGGTTTTATATATACATTTGAATAACTAAGAAAATCGTAAATTACTACATCAATACCATAAAGTTCAACTATAATTTACCAAGCTTAGTAACTAAGATGTATTTTCGAGCTGACTAAAGACACAACCTACCTCATTGAAATCTTGATTTAAAAGAAAGAAATGATGCTAGGTACGTTATAAAGGCTTAGAAAACCATTAGGGGGACATTCTGAGCTTCTGATTGGTTATTCATGTCATATATATAGAAGTAAGTGATTATAAGGGAACGTTTCTAAAAATGGAAAGGAGGTGAGCAGGATGCTACTATATTCGATTTATTACATGAGCAATATCTTAGCAAATAGAAAAGATAAGACCTTCTTATTTTATATTCTAGCTTGTCAATATCTGTAATTTGAGTTTATAATTTTTATGAAACTATAGACTTAGTATTTTGTCTTCACAAACATCTAATTTGAACCAGTGCTGCATTCAACATACCACGTGACACACAAAAATCAATCTTTATCTGTGTTTTTTAGTATTTACTTTTAAATTAACAAATTGAGTATATGTATAGTACTAAAATTTGAATTATAATCTACAGTTTGATATCAAAGTTATTGACATAAATTCATGAAATAGTAGTTCAATAAAATTTTGAATGTGAGCCAACAAATGAGATAACATGGCCTTTCACATGTGACCCGTATAGAAAGGGTTATTTGATTATAGATATGTTCCTTCAGGTTCATTATACATAGTGTTTTCTTTAGATATATTTTGTCAGATTTATTATACACTGTGGTTTTATTTTTGTATGTATGTTCTAGGTTCATTAGACTGTGGTTTTATTTTGGTAGATATGTTCTAGGTTCATTAGACTGTGGTTTTATTTTGGTAGATATGTTCTAGGTTCATTAGACTGTGGTTTATTTTGGTAGATATGTTCTAGGTTCATTAGACTGTGGTTTTATTTTGGTAGATATGTTCTAGGTTCATTAGACTGTGGTTTTATTTTGGTAGATATGTTCTAGG